TCTCACAGACTACGCTCCAGAGCAAAGACATACATGATCCGACAAGAAGAGAGCAACCCGTAGAGGTGATCTAACAAGAAGAGAGCAACCAGTAGGGTGATCCGAGCATAAAAGATCAAATGGTGAAAGAAGTGCTTAAGTCAGAACCACCAGGGGCACAATATATGTAATTACCTCCTTCTCGTCATCATCATCATCACCAGAACTCGTCATTTCATTATTGAAGTCAGTCAAAAAAAAAAAAAAAAATTCAGTATTATATATGTTCCAAGAGTTCTAAGAAATGATGAGAAGGAGAAGAGCCGAAACATTTCCCTTGGTAGTTCAGAGAAGCAAATAACTGAAGTGGGAGATGGAACAGTGTGTAGAAGGGATGATCTGAAAGGAAGAGAGCAAACCTGTACGGAGCAGAGGAGTGAGTGCTCCACGACGATTGCTCTGCAGAGAAAACGAGTGAGGGTTGTGGAGATCAATGGATCCATCCTCTCTGGCAATTTTGTGTGATATCCTGCATCCTCTACAAAGACATGGTAAACCCTAAACACTTGTCAACTCCACTTTAAACACTGAAAAAGCCTGTCTCATACCTAGCCCGTTTCCCCTGAATAAGGCCTATGACAAGAAGCTCACACTGATCTTAAATGAATATAAGGAGTTTCTGTCTCGAAGGTTTGACTTTTGCAGGTATGAGATATAGAGTATGGAGCCGATTTGAACAGCAGTCAGTGGGGGTTCTGGTAAGGGTGTGTCGTCCTAATATGTCTGCTTGTATGGTTCAGAGATTTGTGGTTAAAGTATGGTTGCTGAAATGAGAGAGTTCCCACACTTTCAAACTTTTCCCACTAATCTGGAACTTAATATTGTTTGAGGACAAACAAGGATCCAAGTCTGGGGGAATTGATATGTTGTGTTTTTGACATATTACACACATACTTTGCATATCACTTTTGTGTTTTCCTGGAGTATACTTAGTGTGTTTTGAGTTATTTCAGGTAGAGAACGAGTTGGAATGCACCAGAAGGAGCATATGGAAGAAAGAATGCAAAAACCAGAGTTTTCCATCGCATAGCACCCGAGCGGAGCAACCCCCTGGTTGCTCCCTCTATCGCGGAGCAAACCCCCCTTTGCTCCCGAATATTATGGAAACTTCTAATTAATTTCGGGATTTGCCCTAATCTTTCTATTTTCTTCCCCCAGCCGCCTGTGGCCTTCAGACATATTCTATTCTATTTTTTTCTAGACAGAGAACGCTTTTGGAGAGAGGAGAAACCTTAGAACTTTTGGATATTGTGATTTTGATACTTGTAAAGGGAGAAGATCATCTCTCTTGTTCTAGAGAAGAATCCTCTGAACCCTATTTATATTTATCTGCAATAATATTCATGTCTTCTTCATCTCTTGACTTT